TTTGATCATTCAAAGAAAAGTAGTTTGCACTTTATGTAGAGTAGGTAGTCAAGCGCAAACTCCTCTCTACACCCTTTGACAAAGTATTCTTGTTTCTTGTATACCGTAAAGCATTCTTTAAAGTACCTCCCTGTGTAAAGTACCCTCCCAGCTTTTTGACAGATAATTTATGTACAATATCCGGGTACTTTAAATGGCAATCAATATATGAAAATATAAAGTACCCCTTTTATTTATATTGTACTACAATTCTTTAGTACAAAAAAATAAACGAAACTAATTTAATTTTTCTCATTCTCACTAAAAACCATTTCATTTATATATATATAATTAAAACTTGGATTTTCAGTCCAGTCATTCTCATATTCAAATAGGTTTTCATCATACACATTATTAGGGTATAACTCTTCATTCGGATTTTCAGCAATTTCATTTTCATTCGCAAAAATTTTTTGTTGAGGTCTATCCAATAACCTGTCATAATCAAAAATCCAATCGTCTTCTGATCCGTCTTGTACAACAGATATTCCACAGCATTTAAACGAACGTTTAATCAAATTAGAATCAAGAGACTTCCATGTATCTTTCACCCATTCAGCAAGTAATGAATATGATGATTTTTTGATACGTCCTGAAGCAGTAAGTTCATGAATTTCTTCTGCCATCCATTTTGTATATAATGTGCGAACCTAATAAAAACATTTTTCTTTAAAAAATATTTTTTTTTAAAAAAAATTCAAACAAAAAATTTTACCTTTGCTTTAAAACTTTTATTAATCGCAACATCTAATAGTTGTAGTTTTGAAGTTAAACCACCTGGAATTACGGCTAAATTTGTATTCTTTTCACCAAAATGATGTTTAACTGAATCGACTAAATGGATCTTAAATGAATCAAAAATCAGAAGAGATCTTGGATTACTTAGAGGTTGCCTTTTTGTCCAAACATTTTTGATCCACCAAAGCATTTCATTCTCATTAACTCATCCTTTTTCATTTACACGAACAAACACGCCATTGGGAAAACTTTCTCAAGGCATATTTTTTAGTTTAAAAATAATGACTGGTGGTAATTTAGTTCCATTGGTCATGCATGTGAGTATAACCGTAAAATTTTTTTTTCATATCCTGTTATATGAATACTAATTGTACGAGCTCCACGGTTGTCAATTGTTGTTGGATGGGGCATGTCAAAGATGAGAGGAGTTTCATCCATATTTCCTACCAATTCTAATGGATAATCATATTGAATACATCTATATAAAACAAAACTAAGAAAGCTTTGTTGTTTTTCTTCTAAATTCTCAGATAAGTGTTGTGTGATAGTTGTGCTATGGCGATTTGAAAAATTATACCGATCCAAAAAGCCGTCAAGTCATTTATTTGAAAACTTAAATTCTTGAATATTCGGGAGGCTTCGAAATTCATTGTTTTTAGCAAGAGATAATGCTTTGATAATTACTAATGATCACGTAATAAAGTTTTGTAATTGTCGACGTTTGATGACCCAATTAGATAAAGCTTGTTTTAATTGTAGATATTTAAGTGGTTTTCCTTAATGTAATTTAAGAAGTTTCGGGAAAGCTTTTATTAATTCAGTTTTTTTTTCCAATCACGCAGCTGCTTTGATTCAATATCGAATCTCCTGCTTGCTGCACGAATACTTGTTTTGTTTTTTTCGTGATAGTTAACAATCATTAATTTTTCGCGAGCAAACCATTATCTTCGCAGTTTTTTCGTCATACGTGCTTTTGCAGCACTTCGATTACTTTTGATAACCATATTAAACTACACATCTTTACCATACTGACAAATATATATTTATTTAAATATGTATCCTTAAATTTAAGTAACATTGCATATGGTTATACAAATAAAATTACTACTTTAAGTAATTTAAATTATGCGTTACACTTTAAGTATTCAAAACACCAAATGCAGGAGAACATTAAAGCAGTATCACTAAGTAAAATTTCCTTTCTGACATATTTTATCAGTATCTCAAGTAATTTTTCGTGTTTTTCAAACCGGTAAAAATTCAGAATTTGATTTTTGATCAACATGTACCCTCCTCTGATCATAGTACTCCCCTATGTAATGTACTCCCCTAATTTTAAGTGGATGTAAAATACCCAGAGTACTTTAAAGAGCGCTTTACGATAATAGCTTTATAAGAAGTTATACAGATCTTGAATCAACATATATTATAGTAGCTTAAGCAGTCTTGCCAGGAGCGCTATAAAGTTATCATCTTTATCCTAGACTTTCTGAACATGTTGTGATGAAGTCTATTGAATATTATATTAAATAAAGGAATTATTACTATAATTCATAAATCTATCTTTGAGATTATATTGCTAATAATACTTATATTTGATTTTAAAAATTTAAAGACGTTTTAATATGTATATTATATTTGATATTGAGATTTTGAGACTCTTTTTAGCAGTCTAGTTATTGCGTTAAAAGAATATAACTGTTATCAACCTCTAAGTGATTTTATCATTAGTACTTTTAGTACTTATTCATATTCAATCTAATAGTTATAAATTATTATTAATACTTTGAATTATCATTAAGACATTAGAAGTTTCTCTTTGAATAGTCCTTAAATTTTATAAATATCTTTGAGTATTTTGAAAGTCCCATCAAAATGGTAACACTATAAAAAAATTTTTTTATTATATTTATATATAAACAGAAAAGCAAAGTAAGATGACTATAGAGAGATATAACTATAAATAGATATAACTATAGAGTGATTTGATTATAGTTTTAAACTTTAAAAATTGAGTAATAATAACTTATATAAATATAACATATATTTTAGCTTAGAAAAATAATCTTTTAAAATCTTCTATAATTTTTCTTTTATTAATTTAATCAATTTAACAATTAGTCTTTTAATTATAATTTTTTTTAACAATATCTTCTTAAAAGTGAGTTATATTATAAGTCTTAAGTTAAAAATTTTTAGTCAAACATTAATTATTCTTTTTCTTTCTTATTTATATTCTTTTATTTTTAAAAAATATCTTATCTGTAATAAGTAATATCTTCTATTTTATATAATTAATCTTTTATTATTATATTATATAGTTAGTTAATATTATCTAGAAATCTATAAAAAAAAGAAAATATTCTTATTAAAAATTAATTAATAAAAGAAAATTACTTAATAATAAATTATTTGAGTCAAAAGAAGATTTCTGAAATCATTTTAATTGTTCAACAAAATGAATACTTCATTACCTATCTTTAATAAATTAGTCTCTTTCAACTTTAAATACTTAAAATATATAAAAAAATCTTTAGTTAAATATAATAACTTTCTTATCTAATTAAAACATATAAAGAATATATGATCTATATTTAAAAGATTATAAAACTAAATAAAATAATAATAATAGTTATTATTATTATATTCTTTAAAAGAAAATTCATATTCAAATAGAAATAAATTGAAAAATTTTTTATTAATTGAAATATAGTATGAATTACTGTTACAAATTTGTTTGCTAATCATTAAATTAGCTTACAAACTTGAATCTGGATTGGAAAAGAGTAATAGATTGATGAAAATATTAAGATAAAAAAAAGAGTATCTAAGTTCTATATCAATTTCTATGAAAATTGTATTTACTTAAAAGAAATAATAATATGGGAGGATATAAAGAAATAATAAAGAAGATTTAAAGAGATAATTCTATACTTGTATAAAGCTTAAAAGTGAAATAATAAAAAAGTAAAATAATGAAAAAGTGAAATAATATATATAAAAGTAAAATAATAATAGGAGATTTTACTATTTTTAAAATTTTCATGTTTTTCAATTTTTTTTTGAAATTTGCGATATTTATGTTATTACTGTAACAATATTTTAAAATTTTTCTTTTATCATCCAAGAGACAAATTATTATATCAAGTTAATCTCTATCACTATCGCTATGGTGCGTAAACATCTCAAATCATATTATATCATCAGAAATCTAGTATTTGATTGGTCGAAGACTGAAAAATTTTATATTAAAGTATGGAATTATATATAAGAATCAATAAATTTATCATTAATTTTGTTGAAGATCAAATTTTGGTCAGGATTATAAAAGATCAACAAAATTATAGTGTTGATTATGAGCATTTATTTATACATGTAATTATGCAACAAAAAAACAAGCAGTAAAAGTGATAAAGCTTGACCTAACGCTAATCTATCATTTTTACGGTTTAGTTTGTTAAAATCATCAAGTTTGAAAGACTAGATAGTTTAAAGTTACATTGATGAGTATAGATGTTATGCACCATATATTCGATCTTTCAAAGGTTTTGTATCGAGTCGTTCCATAATTTGACATGTATTTTGATTCTAATATACATGTATTATCATTATATTCTCAGGCTTCGAATTTGGCAAATACGATATACCGATACGTAGCAATAAAATAGCTCATAAATTTGCTGCTTACGATTTTCAAGTGATAAACCCATTTATTGGCTATCGCTACACATGTAATTTGAGCAAAAATTTATTTCTAACCAGATCACTGTTTAGGATACAGGTTTTTTCAGTTCGGGCGTAGCTGCACCGCCTCAAAATGCTGATCTACTGCTATTAAATGTACCGGTATCTTTTCGAAAGCGCTTTTCGTTCATACTTGTAGTTGTTATCAAAGATGAAGCCTATAGTCCGTTTATTTCGAAAGTTTTTTGTTGATATTGTACCTTCCCGAGAAACTGAGCCAGCGTTTCTTCGTGGAACAAAACTATTCTTTATCTATGTTATATATATTGGCTCGCTATTATACCTTGTATCTTTAATACTTCAAATGGTTTATGATAGTCCATATCTACAAATATCAGTCGTAACAGCCACAGAATTACCAGCACCTTGTAACTTTCTTTTTTGTTATCGAGTCTTTGTATGTATGCGTTTGCTTTTATGTATGCGTTTGCTTATTTGAATTTTGTCAATATAGATATTTATTTCAAGGCGCCTTTCAACTTCACGCTGACATGTGATCTTTTAAATATTGGTTGGTTAAATTGTCAACACATGTATTTTGTTATTAAAGGTTTGCTTAATAGTGCACTTTAATTGCTGAACTCAGAAGGAAAAAAACAAACACCAAGAAGTGAATTGATAAAATATTCATCCGAAATAACTGAAGCTGGGACAACAAACTATTTAGGGACGATTTGGGGAGGTTTTTCTAAGGAATATGTGCCATTATTGACTTTCAGTCAAAAAGGTGTATATGGCCTTTCAGTGCAAATCTTTACAGATAAAATATTTGACGAATTAAACGACGACCTGCCTGCGAATTTTAATGGGATTAAAGTGTATTTGTTTGATGCCGGTATATACTGTAATTAAGTGAATCGATTTTGGTGATATTTTAGTGTACTGACTTAAAATATTTTAGATAAAGATCAAGTAGATTTTTCTATGGCCAAAGAAGTATCAGCTGCCGTCAGAAGGGAACGAATAGACAATGCAAATGCATATATACTTTCTCCAAAGCAGGTACACCTATCAATTCTTGTTTTATTGCAATTTTCTCTCTTATTATTTATTTGATTTTTTATCCATCGTATTTTCAGAGAAGTATCGTCACATTTAATAGAATTCAAAATAAAGATCTTGATGGACACAAATACAGAAACCACGCTGGTTTAGGAGCTAAAACAAACTCTTATTATTTGATAAGCTCAAGATCACGCGAGTTATATTTATCGTTATTATTCATTTTAATAGATTGTATCTTGACTAATTCTAATAATTATCCTAACTAATAGAAGTTGTCAGTCCATTCTTACTTTCAAAATTTAAAGCATTTTCCACATTCGAATTATATTATGATTCGCGTCTTGTGACGGTTAATGAGCAAAAGAGGTGAGGATAATACAATAATCAAACGCATATGATGTGAGCACTCTATTTTATACACTCTAATAAAAATAAATGTTATTATTTCTTCAGAGATGAGACGGTATGAATTAATAAACAGAAACATTAGCAAGATTTTTTTTTCACTCTTCTTCCAAATTCTCAATAGGTTTTGTCTATATTGAGTTCTCTTGGTGGTGCCTTCGGCTTAGGAATGGTAGTTTTCAACTGTTGCTTCGGTAACTACAACTTTCATTGTACTTTCTTTATTGCATTTAACGTAACCATTAAGCTGGTTATTTAAAAATTTTAAAAATTATGTAGGTGCACCCCAAATCGGACCTTGGGGATGGGCACAAGAATTATACGGCGTTAGACACGCACTCAAAGTACGACTTCGCTCAAAATTTCCACATTACGTTCCCCTCGTAGACAGCGCGCCCTCGATCAAAGATTTCAAATCCAGTGAGAAGGGTTATGAAAATCCAGTTGATATTCAAGTAAAAGCTCTTGAGCATCGGTGTGCTGCTCTTGAACTTTTGTTGAAAGATTATGTTATTGATGTAGGCGATTTGGAAAGCTTGACTAAAAGTCAGAAGAATTCCAAATGAAAAAATAATTTACGTATTGCTAATAGGATAAGTTGATTTTCATTCGGAAATGCACATGATTTTGTGTACATTACATTAGTTATCAGTGTTGTACTTGTATTACGTGTAATACTCGATCTTGCATTATAAAAATGATCAACGTGTGTTGATACGTAACGATAAGGATCATTAAACATGAATAACGATCACAATAACGATAATAAAAGCATCACTTCAGAAGAAAATAATATACTAAAAGAGCTTTTAGAGCTATTTGACGAACTCAAACGATGGGGTGAACCAGACGAAAGAGCAGTAAAACGAATACTCAAATGGATAGCATCGAAAAACACACTACCACAAAATATATTCCAAATATTATCAACCAAAAAAGATGATCCACCATACACTTGTATCTTGGGATTCTTTTATAATTTTGGAATCGGGACACCGTTAGATCTCGAACGTGCATTTTGCCTTTACCGAAAAAGTGCTGAAGCAGGATACTTAATCGCACAAAATAAGGTTGGGTATTGTATAGTGAAGCAAATTGGAACTACGGCATCGGAAGAAACAGCGTTATCGTGGTTTAATCGTGCTGCACAGGCCGGCCATTTACCAGCCCAATATAATCTCGGCGTTTGTTATGCGCAAGGGAATTGTGGTGTAGAAGTAAATGAGTCAATGGCTTTGTATTGGGGAGAGAAAGCAGCCAGAGCCGGTCATCCAGCATCACAAATACAATTGGCGTTACTATATACGTACGGAGTAATAGTACAAAGGAATATCACAAAAGCAATCTATTGGTGTCGAAAAGCGAACGAAGCTCGTAACAATGTGAGTCAACATACACTTGGTGGATACTATCAGTCTGGGATTGGGGTTCCTCGTGATATACATATGACTATTAAATTGTATCGAAGGGCACAAAATAACGATTACGAGTTTACAGAAAATTCTTTGAACTGTCTTTTTAAACCTGCATCAAAGAATTAAAAATTTTACGGAATTTACTTTGTCTTTTCAAAGAAAATTATTTTATGACTTACGGAAGCTTCTTTGAATTGATTTTTAAAAGAATTAAAGATTATCGACAAATACTTGGAATTCAATAACCGACTGGTCATTTACAAGCACACGAATACACTGAATCGGAGGTTTAACCCTACGACTGGCTGATGACTCCAAAACACGGCAGGCTGAAACATAGACGTCTCCATAATGGCCATGGGGTTATCCCATCATCTCCATCGTACTCTATCGTCGCTATTACCTTCTCATGAACATTTCGTAACAATCTCCATTGTGAGAGTTTAGATAGAGGAAACCGCCGCGGATATTACGGCTAGCATTTATGTCGCGATTCCAGTGTCTAAAATAATTATATAATGTTTTCGCCTAGTATATCTATATATTAAATTCATATACAACAATTAAAACAGCAAATAACAATAAAGCCCGCTAAACCAAGATGCTCAAAACAAATGAAAAGACATACTAAAGTGGCAAAAAATAGTTTGCTTCCGAACATTTAGCGTTAGCGTTAGTATAACCAGAAATTATTGTTATACATAATATACATTATATTTATTCACTCACCACTTTTAATGTTATGAATTCATTCATAACTGTATCTGTCCCGTAGAATTGGACGAAGCGAAATGACGATGCCATCGTAATTATAATTCAATCTACTCTTATAAAGACAGGATTAAACGAATGCTTCGCAAAATATTTACATGTATTAGTAATCATCAAAAATTCTAAGCATTTGTTGTTTTAAAATAATCTGTAGGTTAGATAATATAACAGTAATTTCAAATTATCCGCCAATTCAATACCACTCACACAAAAAATTTAACGAAAAAGAATAAATTCTACTTTTTAGAATGTACGTATACGATTGGTAAATTATTTTTGTTGTCGAATTTGTTACTACTTAACATTTTTTTATTATCGTTGTCGTTTTACATATATACAGTATTGCTATTATTATTATTGAATGCATACATGTATTAAATAGGAGAATGAATGCTATTAGCGTTAGCTTTGGTTGCATTTTTTCAAAAATATCATGTGCTTAAAGAATTCTGCCTCCATTCTAGATCTAGCTGAAAGCAGATTTCCAGTATCGGAGAATAACGATAATCTCTGATGTAGATGTGGCAGAAACTGCTAGATAAATTCTAGCAAGTTTTGTCAACACTGGATATTTGCTTTTTTTACTCACAACCTTCAAAAGATTCTGATTAAAGAAATTTTATCTTCTCTTAAATATTTTGTGATTTCATCAGATGCTTGAGATTGATCTTGTTCAAAAATTATAAAGAGAGTAGATTGATATAAAAATTTATTGGTTAATTCAAATGAAGTTGGAAAATAAATAAGCTAATGCTTTATCAATGGAATATTAATATGATATTTATTATATTTCTGACACAAAATTTGTTCAGCTTTTTTCATTTCATTATCTATTATATCTTTTTTGTATTTAATTTGTGAATCAAAAATGGTTGATATTAAATAGTCTTCCAGCAAAAATTTCCAAAAAAAGCATATTGTATCATATAGATTTTTATTTTATTTAGCATTCACTTTGTGTTTAATAGTTAAATTATATTAATTCTGTTATTGTCCTTTACTGAATAATCCAAATCTGTTTCTTTATTAATGATTTTGCTTTTTGATTCTTTATTAATATTTTCTTTTGCTATAGCAAAAATATTTTTATACTTTTGATTTTTAATATATTAAATAAAATTAAAGCTCCTAACAAGCCAACTCTCAAGTCTCTTGAGCTAAAATTTTATATGTAATTTAATAATATGAATTTAAATTCTATTAATTAAATTATATATGTGTGAGTTATATGTGAGCCAATGAGTTGAGCTTTTCAAGTCCTAAATAAAATAAATAATAATTTATTATTATTTGTTAATTTTTCTTATTATTGAATATATATAACATATTTTTTACTATTAAGATATAAAGTTTTCTTAAATAAATTAAGTACAAAAATTAAAAAATTTTATTTAAAATAAATACAATTTGTTTAAATTATTTGTCATTTTTTTAGTATTTGATTCTGAATTATTTTTCAAGTTTAAAAACAATTTATATAAAGTATTTTTATAAATTAAACTGAACCAGACTTTTGAAATTGGTTTAAAACTTGAATTAAATTTTGGCTTGAATTGAAAATTCAAATTAAATTATTATAAATTCAAGTTTGATTTTAATTCAAGATTAATATAATATTATATATAAATATAATTTATATTTGTTAATTCTATTATAATATTATAATATTATATAATACTAAATATTATTATTAATTAATTAATAATTATTAATTTGTATTCAAATTATAACTTTACTTATATATAATAAAAAAATTAAAAATTATAATAATTAAAAATATTTTTTAAATTTATTTAATTTTGATATTTATTATTAATATTAATTATTTTATACAAATTTATAGTTTTAATTATAATTTATAACTTAGAATTTTTTTAATATTTATTTAAATTAGCTTACAAATTTGAACAAGAATTGAAAGAAAAAATTAGATAAATAAATAAAATATTAATAAAAAGACATATCTAAGTTCTATATAGTTTTTACTAAAATTATAATAATTTAGAAAAAAGACAAAAGTATTAAAAAATTATAAAAAAATAAAAATAAAAAAATAAAATATTATAAAATAAAAAAATAATATATAATAAAAGGTTTGAAATTCTATTTTTTTGTATTAATATAAGATATTCTAAAACTAAAAAAAATATAATTAATAATTAAATAACAAAATATTTTACTTTATTATTCTTATAAATAAGAAATAATATTTATAAATTATATTATTAATATTAAATATCAGTATTAAATTAATTAATTAGATTACAAAATCTATATGTAATATAAAAATTTAAAGCAAATATAAACAAATGAAAAGCCACTTAAAAAATTAAAAACTAAATAATTAATTAAAACAAATACTTATTTTAATTATTAATTCAAAAATTCAATAATGTAATTCAAAATTACTTATATATAAGCTTTAAAATATATAATTGAGAGTAAAAAAATATAATAATATTTTTTGTTATAATTTATCATATTAAAGTTCAAATAATATTTTTATTTTTATATTTATATAAATAAAAAAATTTCAATAAAAAGTGAAAAATAAAATAAAAATTTAAAAAAAGTAAAAAATAAAAAATAAAAATAAAAAATAAAATAATTTTGTAAGAAATTTTTATTATTTTTTATTATATTGAATTTTTTTAATTATTTTAAGAATTTATAAAATTTTTGTTATTATTATACAATATAAATAGAAGTAATATTTAAGTTTAAATTTAATATATCAAATTTAAAAAATAAATAATATAATAAAGAAAATTTTTTACTTTTAACTGTAAATTTTAAAGCTTGTATATAAATTATTTAATTTTATAAAATATTATTATTAGAATTATGAATAAGTATTTTTATTAGTAATTAAATATTTAATTATCTTATTTTTTTTTCTTTTTATATTATTCTTTAAATATTATTTTGATATTTTAATTATTTTTTTTAATTTTGTTTAAATTTGTAAGTTAATTTGCTAATTTATAATATTTTGATACTCTTTATAAATATTAATTTTTTAAATTTCTTTTAAATTCTTTATATTATTTTTTTATTGAAAACTTATTAATTATTACTTTAAATATATAATTAAAGCTAAAATTAAAATATAAAATTATTATTAAATTTTTTTATATTATTTTCTTTGTTATTTATTAATAAAAAATAATAATATATAATTTTTTCTTTTAAAATTGAATTTGTTTTTGTAATATTATAGTATATTTATATATAATATAATTAATTTCGACTTAAATAATAAAATTTATATAGAATTTTGTCAAAATTTATTTATTTTTTATATATAATTTTATATAAAGAATAGTTTATTATAGTAATTTAGTTATATTTACTTAATTAATTTGTAATACAAATTTTTTAAACAAACCAATTTATCAAAAAGATATAAAGTTCAAAAAAAGTGAATTTTAAATTAGAATGTATTTTAAAAATATATATATTAAAAAAGTAAAAGCTAAACTAATTAATTAATTATTTATTTAAATTAAATCTGAAAAATTTAATTAAAAAAAATATTTAAAAAAATAAAAATATAAAACAAGAAAAATATTTGAGAACTCAAATAATAATAAATAATAAATCTAAATATTATTTTTAATAACTACAAAATTTAATTGTTATTTTGATTATTGAATTAAAAAATTCAAAGATAATAATCAAGATTCTGTAAAATAATTCAAATACTTTGAAGTTATAGCAATATTTAATAAAATAATAAATACAAGAAAAATTCAAATTGTATAAGAATTTCTGGAAAATATAGTTATGGTATGGTTTATTAAAAAGCTACTAATAATATTCTTTTTTCAATAATAATTAATACTAAACATAAGTGTACTACAAGCATGTTTGCTTTTTCAGCAATATATGTATTAATTTTTTGAATATAAAATTTGGATCTCTGAATTTTCTTCAGTTCGGATTTAAAGACTATCTGGATATAATCAGACCGGAGGATTCAGTTTATTTGGATATATTTGATGTTTCTACCTTAGTTTTTTCTCTTTACTTTTTGCTAATGTCTTTGAAAAAATCGGCGAATGTTTTTTCTAGAGTTTTACACATTTACTTTGCTGCGAGATAACATTTTCACAAAGGAAAGAAAAGATGTGGTAACGGTAATGTTAATATTTCGCTATATCTTTTAAAGAGTAACTATAAAAACTTGAAATTTCAAGTCAAGTTATCGTTATATACGTAAACAGCCACACCACATGATAGGCCCGAAATCGGGTAGATCAATGACGTAAATGTTTTTACATGTACGTACGTATTCACAGAGCGGTATCGGTATTGTGCGTGCATCTGTTTAAGCGTAAAAGTGTGTAACGGTAGTGCATGTAATAACGATATGTATATAAATTGTGATTTGCGCATTCAACTATCGCTATCAATCTTCAACGAAAAACGAGACACCAACGATCAAACTAATATTTACTGCAGAAATGGTCGAGGCACCAATTCTTATGCGATCATTAGTCGCAATATTTATTATGATGTTTTTTATTGCTGCAGTAGCCTGGTCGATATTGTTGTTTTCTCGCGGATATTTTTTCTCATATACAATTGTTGTATTTGGTGACTCATTGTCCGATAATGGGAATCAGTTTGCGAGTACAAATAATACCATTCCACCGCCTGATATATATCCTAAAGGTACTACATGTAACTAATTAGTTTTTTACTTTTTTTAATCGGGTTTAAATTTTCGGTTTATTTGAATAAATATAGGACGATGGACAAACGACAAAACTTGGGTGGAGTATGTCGCGGACTCCTTGAATGTCAATCTAAGAGATATGGCATTTGGCGGGGCAACAGCCGATAATAACATTGTAAAAAGTGAAAATATAATCGTAAAAAGTGAAAACAGCTCTACTGGAACTCACAATAAACAGAAATATGAACTGTCGTCTGTTAAACAACAACGTAATCTTATAAATTGTTCTTGGATTTTTTGAATTATTTTAGTTGCTCATGTTTTTTTATTTGATTTAGTCGATTATTTTCTTCAAAATGGCACAGAACCAGATAAATACCAAACAACTTACATGATTTGGATTGGTGGAAACGATTATCAAGTAAGCAAGTAAGCAAGTAAGCAGAGCAATGATATTGAAAAATTACATACATTTTTTCATTCCATTCATCTGATTCCCAATAATAAGATTATTGTACAGAAAAACTTGTCAACTAAACCAGAAAACATAATAGACTCTATACAAGAATCCTTAACACGTCTTTCGACATCAGTCGGCGCACGGAAATTCCTAATCAACAATTTGCCACCACTCGAAATCACACCATTGATTCAAAGACACTTTACAACTGATCAACAAAAACAGCTAAAGGATCTCGTCATCTCTCACAATGCTCAACTTGAAGTGATGGTGAAAAACTTTTCCTTGACAAGTCATCGAGTCACAGCTCGCGTTTTTGATGTATACAACTTGACCAATGAAATCTTAAATGATCCTGATAAATATCATTTTAAGAATGTAAAAGATCCTTGTTTGGATTATTATGATGGGATTTTTGCGAATAGTAGCAGTATTTCGAATAGTAGCGGTATTGATACGTCTACTAATGTTAATAACACGATACAACCATGTGAAGAAAGAGACTCATATTTGTTTTGGGATAGACTTCATCCTACTGCAAGAGCTCATCATCTTCTTGCCGATAAAATTGTTGACTATTTGAAATCACCAGAAGGTTTTTGTCTATATAAGAAAATATGTAACTTAGGATAATTTAATATATATTTTAGATTCTTACATATAATTTGTTTTTTATCGTTATGTAGTTAAAGTTCAAGTTAAACCTTGGAACAACAAAACGCACTAGATGTGTTCATTATAATTACGTATATAGTCGAGTTTGAATATATATAACGATAAAGGTTTTCGTTGAATCAAATTTCGTTGTACATGTATCACTACGTATCGGTATCGTATTAAAGACAATCGAATTTTCCTTGACGAATAGCAATCTCCCTTTCCATTTGTTTCAAAATATCTGCGACAGACTTTGTGAGATTATGTTGATATCCATGCGAAACTTCTAAAATCCTTAGAGAATCTCTCAAATTTTGCATTCCCTCGTCATCCTGATGCATACAGAGCAAAATACGACCAGTGACAAGCAATTGAATCCCAATTAACGGATGCCATTCGGTGAATAAGAAACGATAAACATCGATCAGTTGCCGAGAATGGGATAATGCCATGGGCCAGTTTCTTTGTTTACTGTACAGTTCAATAAGTGATTTTCGCGTCTTTATCACGTTTTGATTGGAGATGTGTAGTAGATTTTTTTGTAGTTCAAAAGATCGTTCAAGTTGTGAAATTGCCCTTTTTTCGTCTATAAATCATTATTAAAGTTATATTCTTTTTTTTATAACTTTTTAGTGTTTCTTTGTTTACCTTGCGTAAGTAAATTCATCCCTTTCTCGTAGAAATCTATCGATTCTTTAATTTGATTTTCAACATCAGCTGCATCATAAGAAATATTTTGTTTGCAGTTCGAACATTTGACTACAATTTCTTCTTGCAAATCAAGCGGATCTGTTAAAAGAAGAAAAGTTCAAACCAATTAAATTTAACAAATAGTTCTTGAATTTCAGAAAATTACTTGGAGGCTCAATAGGATTCAAGCATCCCTCCGTTTTACATCGCAGAGCATTCCGTGGGTCAACGTTTTCTTTGAACTTATAATTCCGCAAAATTGATAAATTAGTAATTTAAAAAAATAACTTGAATTTCGGAGCTAAAAATAACGAACCTCATATCTTTTACAGAGTTCACATCGACATAAGAAAAAATATCTTTCATTCAATTCTCGGCGTCGTTCCATTGTGGGCAGTCCAAGATCAGTATAAGTAATAGTTATCTAAATATACATATATCTATTAGTATCATCAAGATAATAGAGCAACAGACACAACTATATGCTATACCTCTTCGTTCTTTTGAATGGGCCGAATATTTCTCACCATTAATTTTGACCCATCGAAAACTGCTAGACAATTCGGCACACATGAGTGATTTATCAATGCGGTGTTCGTGTATATTCCAACCCCAATACCAATCATCTCTGCGTCTAACACCGAAAAGCTATTGCATGTTAACTGTACAGTGAAATAATCGAAATTAATAAAGATTCTATAGCGAAATTTTCTTCAATTACCACTTACTCGACAGAAGAGATCAATCATTTCACCAGCTGCTGCTGATATTTTTACGCATTCTTTTACAAGGATTGATAATTGGGCAAATGTTTCTATTTCTTCTTGTTTAAATTTTGTGCGGTCTGATTGAAAATATATGTGTTATGCGAGAAAAATAGCTAAGAATCCTTTGAAAAAGGTTAATTCGGCTTACTTGTATTCAAGTTCTCTATTGCTGTATACTTTTTAATCGGATAAATTTTATTAGATAAGAAATAGAAAAAACTTTGATTGACTGATTATACAAATTACCGAATCTTTATCGTCCGAGTGTTTTCTTAAGATACGACAAATAACACGAATAGATGCGGGTGGCTTATGTTTCAATCTCACAAAAGTCTTACATTCTTCTTTGTGTTGTTTCCAATCACTTTTTTGACATTTCTAAGCCATGAAAAAATAGATTAAATTCGATCATGCTAAACAGGCAATACATATTGAGGAATACAAACTTCCGAGCAATAATGAAGCAAATTACAAGCCGAGCAACGTAATAATTTTGCTGGCTTTGCGAAACATCCACTACAAAATTTGTCAAGATTATTGTCATCCACTACTGCTGCATATGGCTTTTCTTCCAAAATCGATTCGCCTAATTTTATGTTTTCAGTTGCAAAAATGCCTCGCCCTTTCTCGGTAGTTTCTTTCATATAAACATTATTTCCTAGTTTAAGATCTTTTATCGTTGAAGATTGCACTGCTGCTTGATTTTTGCTCTTGATTTCTGCAAGATTCGTTTCCTCGGTTTTCGACATTTGCGTATTATCATTCTGATTGATCTTTCTAACAGCTGGATTTGCTTTTATCGAGGGAAAATTAATCTTTAAATAGAACAATCATTATTCGATTTCATATAAATTTCAATTTCAATTTCAAAGAATACTAACAACTTCATCATCGATTTCATCAATAAAACTTAATCTCGGGGGCGTCATTACAGCCGAATAGTTAATAATCTTGTTTCGAGATTTTTCTTTTATTTGATCAACGACGACAGTTTCTTGCTTTTCATCATCGTCATCATTATCATTAAATGATTTTTTGCGGATGTTTCTTCTGTTTTTGCTGGCCATTGTTTAAAGAAGGAAGATGATCATTTGATGATCATCACACCTGTATGCGTACGTATCTTTATCGTTATTATCGTTATTTACTGATTCACTATAGCGATAATGAATAAATAAAGTCCTTATACGTGCAGTCTAAGAGATCCAATCACATGACAGCACTCGTTTTTCCGGTCTTTCTTGGTCAAATACTATCAGATAAATCACCATTCTTCTCTTGGAGTGTGGTAGAACTCTGGCTAACTGGTTTGACCAAAAATATCGATAAAAACTTGACATTCCTCAATGTTATCCAAGAAAACGACAACTTCAAATCGCTCAAAATGTTATGTTCGTAATTATTGTCGATCATAGGAAATGTCTCAAATTTAGAAACGAAAGATTTTTCCTAGTCTTAAACGCTTTCCAATATTTTTTATCCCAATTTTCTACAAAAGTTGTTGAAGCACATGTATCTTGATCCATAAACCCTTCCAAGTTTAAAGATCGACCAATGCATAAATTATGTACAGTTACACATATCGATATGTTTCTTGGGAAATAAAAGTTTTTCCTTTACTAAAATCAACCTGTTCTCTATACGTTACCGATACGTACTAATTCCAAGTCTTCTACTTAATTAGTGTTGTTGCTGCAACTGGAATATTTTCTAAAAGATCTTTGCACAAAGAAGGAACTTTTTCATCAATCTGACAATACGTTAAGGATCTACAATTTGTCAACTAATAAACGATCCAATAAATCCTATTAAAACTCACTTGACCGGGGGTTCTACGATCATTTTGTTGGAAGTGACAATGTATTTCGAGTTTTGGTAAGGAATTTATTTAGTCCATAAATTATCATCAAGGAATAAACGCCACGCCTAATCTTTAGTTTTATATTTTTCGTTATGGTGGTAGGGACCGCGATAGTTACTACGCCAACACGACCTTGATAATAATTATAGTTGGGTTGATTTTCGATAATCAGTGTATTCTCTACTTCTAAATAACATAATTAATTAATATAGAATAAATGAAAATCACAAGATTTTAAACTTACACCTTTGAGAAAAGGAATTTTTGAGATCCGTAACGGGCAGATTCAATTGGCCTACAAAAATCGATAACTGACTCAAAATCTCGTTTCATTTAATATACATTTTGTCAATTCTGATTATTAGATTGACTTGGGTTTTAAGTTAACAAATTCCTCATCAGAATCATATAAATTATTAGTTAAAGACTGATATTCATTGTAGCATCCATTTTATATGCATGAAAAAAGAAACCTTTTATGACTTCTATTTTTGTGTGTAAATAATAAAAGGCTCTTGTTTAATACATGTAATATGTCATTATTCATGTGAAGTTCTTATGAACGTTAGGGATGAGTTGAAGTTCGATGAAGATGTAGCGATAAGAACGATATTTTGTTTCGTAGAGATAGAATGAATAAAATATAAGAGCTTGTATATGTTTTTTTGTATAATTTTCACAGTCACAAATGGAAGGAGCAACCGACTTCCGCATATTTTTATTTCAATAAACCACTGCACATACCCACTAATAAAGTGAACTCAAAGATGGAATGGAATCTAACATTTTGAATACCATAATTGTAGTAAATGCTACTTTTGTCTATATAAAAAGTACTGTAATGAGTGTTTAGATCACAATACTCATAATTGTAGTGAATGCTATTTATAGTTTTGGGATGATTACATACGAAATTGTAGCAAATAAACAATCATTTGGTGAACGGGAGCCATGATCATTATCTTGTGTATGACATATATAAAGGAGTACGACCTACGATACCAAATAATGTTCCCGAATGGTGCAAATTCATCATTGAAAAGTGTCGGGATTCTATTCCAGAAAACAGAATTTGATGAAAGTATGGAATTGCAGAAAAGCAATTCTACAAATACAGACAAAACAACAAATCGAAATGTAACCTTCATCAGTCGAATCTTTATACAGAATCAATTACAATCTCGAATGATACAGGTACATGTATTTGCTATTCTAAATGCAAATCATATTGACATTTCATATTAATAAATTTTATTTAATACTTAGGTTCTACAAGTAAACTTATATCTAATATTATTTTCTCGTTATCGTTATCGTTATATTTACATGTACATGTATCACTTTTTGTTTATTAAATATACTTATTTTATGTGTATTTAGTGTACAGGATCGTATATAAAAAAACCACAATATTGATATTTTGATATAATCGGAGGTCGTGTGTTATAATGAGGTTTTCTTGAAAATCTATAATACTCTCGTCATAAGCCATTCTCGATATAACGAGCTTTTGCTTGGTACCAAGGTTCCTCGTTGCATCAAGGTTTGACTGTACTGTATTGTTTATCGCGTACATTTGTGAAATTTCCATCGTTTACGCTATCGCTATAACAACAAAGATTCAATTATCTTCTATGTTATTTATACCATATCGATATTCGTTGACATTATCATTATTACTGTTCCAGATCGATTTAGACTTGTGTTGATTTAGAATCAATCTAGGTTGATTTCAAGTTGATCTAAATTAAACTACTGTATATATATAACTAAATCTAAGTTGATTGGAAATCCAACTTATAACACTGCAACTCAAAAGTTGATGGAACGTTATAACGTTAAATAACGATAAATACTGATAACAATCACCTTTGCTTACAACATGCATTTGATGTATTAGGAGAAAAGCTTTTATCATTTACACACCACACAAATAGATTTTCTTAAAAAGCTGCTTTTATACGTTCTGTCATTTTTTATGCATAACGTTAAACATGACTTTTTAACACAAAAATAGAATAAATGACTTTTCTATGAATCCTGTACGTTGCTGCCCAATAGGATTTGTTTATGGTGATCAACAAAAAAGTCCGGAAACTTTTAGTTGCTACCCAACGATAAGGTCGTAGAAAAAAATTAACGGTTACACTATAAAATTTGGCTGTCATCGTTATAAAAAGCTTTCTTTTTTATGCGTTCTATCTCATTTTTGATGTTACTCTTCATCACTTAATGGGGGGGGGGCGTACGTAGTATTTGCATAATCGATACAAACACAAACGACGACTTCCATACATTGATATAAATCATCGTTTTTTAAATAAAACATTGTTATAATCAATAACGCTAACGCTAATAAAATAACTTCAAAGATGGAATCTCAAAACCAATGGTAATAACGATAATATAATTACTATTCTTATCACTCAATGATATTACGTATTAATCATGTATTTGGTTGTTTACACAACAATAGAAGTATGAGAACCTTCTTTGCTATGTGTTCTGTTTCATAGTTTAATGTGGTTGGGCGTACAACGACAAACACAAACGGAAGTGAACCATGACTTCACACATATAAATAAATCATTGTTTTTTAAATAAAACACTGCCATAAACTCAAAGATAGCATCTAAAACTCATGATTATAGTAAATGTATTTGGTGTCAAAAATGGGTTACTGCAAAGCGTGTTCAGTTCACAATACTCATGACAGTGATTGGGTTACTGCGATGAGTGTTCAGTTTACAATACTCTGGTGAATAATATTTAGTTAAAATTTGATGGATTTTTATTCATTAATTATTTAGAAATTTTTTTAAAATTTGTTTTTATCAAATGAGAAATAAAATTACTCAAGTTTTGAGAATTTTTAAGTTTCTTCAGCGTGACTTTTATTGGTCCACCCCGAGACCAAGCTTGAGTGTTTTCGTTCCAATCCCACTTAGGTCTCTCTAACCAAATAACAGAATAGATTTCACTAAATGCTCCAGCTTTGTGAAATTCAACCAGCTCAAATTGTTCATAAGGAATATCTTCAAGATAGTCACCGCTTATATTCGCCTCAGCTTGGCTTTCTTGTATAATTAAATCAAGTTGCAAATTGCCAGTTGTCCATCTTGAATAGTTTTTTCACATGATTGGCACCACGCAAAATTTGTTCTAAATTTTTCATAATGAAAACATTTTTTATGAATAATTCGAAATTCATCCGATTGAAGTGGGCGTGGATCCAATTCATCGCTGCTTTCTTCGTCGCTTGGATATCTATTTTCAGTGTCAAGCATTTGTCAAATCAAGAAAAACAATAAATTTCATTCATATTTATCAAATACGATGTTATACAAAATGTTATTTGTCACAACACTAGCAAAAAGTTGTTATCATTATACATTATGTTATATTGCGATTTTATTAGGCATTTGACTGTATATATAATAAATGTATATAGAATAGCTGTATAAAATCTATCCTTAAACCGTTTTCCCCATGAATTTGTCCTGTATTTTGAATAGATAAAAGTTAGTAAATAAATAAATATATTATTAAAATTAAATAACGTTTATTATATTATAGAACTTAATAAAAATGATTTTATTAGTAAAAAATTGAGCTTTTATTCTTCAAACTATTTATCTACAAATTTGCCCTGAATTTCAAACGGTCTAAGGGATAAAACAAGTATACTCTTAGAACTGGTAATTAAAAGAGGAGTGTGACTTTAATTGCTTGTAGAAAAGTGTCTAAAGATTTTTTGTAACACATTTTGCTTTAATAAAGCCTCGAATTGTTTCAAAACAAGCATGGTTATATTATGCTATTGCCTATGCTAATGCTTGCAATCAACTTATTTCATAAATTAATTGGTATAATGAGTAATTGGTCCAGTAATCAATGGTCAGCTCAAAAAGATTATGAATTTAAAAAGTAAATTACAAATTACAGTCAAAGTCCTTTACAACCCAATAAAAAATCAATATCCAAAAGACGTTCGAGAAAATGAACAACAATATCATACATGTATAATTAAACGTTCGATATCATCCAACCGGTCAATCTTACTACAAAATTAATTTCAATTCCAAATAATGTCAGTTTATATGCCCCATGCGAAAAGTAAAATTAGATTTAAGTATACAAAATGAAATCAAAGTGAAGGAAGAAAGTCTTGGTTCAGCGGTTTAAATCATTTTCGACTTGGGCTTGTTCAGTGGCTCGTTGGTTGCGGTCCTCTTTTGCTCGGTTTGGGCTTGGCTTAACTGCTTGACCATGTCCTCAGAAAATCGAGTGATTTGCAAGAAAACTACATATCCCTTCCAAAAAAAAATAAGACAATATCTAAAAAGAAAATAATAACAATGACTACTTTAAACTTTATATTGTTGTTGATTTAATTCAAGAGTCTAAAAACATTCGATATAATGTGGCTTTTCAATAACGACAATGGTAATAATTGGATCACATTAACTGTGTTTCGAGCTAAAGCAATGGTATCGTCCTTGTCAAACTCCTAGTAATATTACCATCTTTATCGGAATGAAACAATCAAACTTATTTGTCTTTGCGTATATATATTAGTCATTATTTATTTTTATTCTTATTCATATTCATCTAAAATTTAACTTTTAGTTTATCATGTACATTTAACGCTAAGAAATTTTCGTCGTTTACTTGCTATCATCTCATACACATAAGCAAAATAAGCGATAATAATATAAACAGAGAACTGTGTGCCTCTGTCCCGTAAATTTGGACGAAGAGAATTACCATTCTTATCACTATATCTCTATAAAACTTCAAATTAGGTTAACGTACATAATAATCTCACATAAAAAAACGACCTACCACCGTTACGCCTACAACATGTACATGTAATAGAAAAATTTTATATCAAATAAGAGAATCTTGTTCTAATTGAAGGGTGTTGCTTATCACCGGAATACGATATAGACAATTATACAATACTCAGAATTTATGACCGACTGGTCATGTACAAGCACACGAATACACAGAATCAGAGGTTGAACCCCTACGGCTGGCTAATGACTTTCCAGAACGCCATAAGCTAAAACATAGACGTCACACTGCCTATACAACCTAAAAGACAGAACGCGTCGTCATATCCACGGGGTCATGGACCCATAATTTTTGTCCGTCATTTACCTTCTCTCATAGATATGTCGTAACGGTCCCTGTGGTGAGAGTTTAGATATAGTAGACCGCGACGGATATTATAGCCAGCATTAATGTCGCGATTCCAGTGTCTGAAAATGAAAGTCGGTAAATGTATTTTATTTAGTACATCGGCATAAAGCTTACGGCTTCGATTTAAGTGCACAAGGACCGGGATTAAATTTGATGAGTTGTTGCATCTTTTATGCCATTTTTTTATGACACCACTCTCGTTATAGTGAATGTGTTCAGCTATAAAAGCAAAATTTTCAAAAATCCACTATATCGAGGGTTTATTAATAAATTCACTATGTCGAGAGGATTTATATAGATTATTTTGAGTTCAGGTTCATTATATCGAGAAGCTTCACTATATCGTTGGGTAGAGTATCTTTATTATTATTGATAAATGCTACAGTGTAGTCTCATTTTATTTGCAAAGCTATGCTAAATTACAATTTAGCGAACTTAGAGTCCCGCTTTAAATACAATATAAAATCACCCGAGAATTAAACTAGTGTAATCTAGGATGCGACTAGCCACCAAGTATCTTTATTATTATTATTATTTTGAATATATTTATACAGTAAATAGTTATGTTACTTTCAAAAGTAAATATATTTACATATATTGAATGAATTTTGCTAAGAATAATCTACGTTAAAACCCTAATAATATACATGTGCTATTTTTCTAGATAAAATCGATTATAATAATTAAATAAAGTATTGCTCATTCGCGAGATCACATATTGTACATGTACTTCAGTTAGTGGAACAAATGTCGTGTCATCCATTGAGCACATTTAGCGTTAACACTGCCGACGAAATCTGTTGTTTAAAAACTCGAATAGTTTCTATATATAAATTCAAAAAAATCATAAATTAATTTGACAAGCATTACATACAACCTAAGAAAAATATTGGATCTTACCATTCATCGATAAAGCCAAATGCGAATCTCTTGAAGTCGAGAAATTACTTATATTTGACGTTAGTACACCTATTATTGATGACCGATTTGAAAAGTATTCACTGATTCGTGAAATGACCGATGTTTGAGGAGGATGCGTAGAAGGAGGAGTAGGAGAATCAACGGTGAATCTAGCATTTTCTGATGGAGAACGACACCACAACTTTATTGACTCGTAAACTGATTTTGTATCTGGACGATTTTCAGGATCAACTTCCCAGCAGCGAGACATCAAATCGACATAAACTCTGGGTGTTCCTTCAATTATGCTAGGACGACATGGGCGCACTTCATTGCAAATACTGAATATCAATTCATAGTCATGTGGAACACTTGCGAATGGGCGTTTGCCCGATGATAATTCCCACATTAGCATTCCTATGCTGTAAATATCTGCTGCCTTTGATCGTCTGCCAGTACGTAATGTTTCAGGTGCTAAACTACTCATTACGCCATAGAGAGTTTGCAATGAATTTAAGTCATTGTAAGGTGGTTCATTTTTTATAGTTAATCCAAAATCTGTTAACAAAGCGCGTCCATTTTGGTCAATTAAGATGTTTCCGCTGTGTAAGTCACAATGAATAAAATTATTTTCATGTAATTTTCTCAGTCCACTGATTATTCCAAATAATATTTTTAATTTATCTATAAATTCAAATATATTCATTAATAATACGCGCGTATAATCAATGGAAATTGTCAAAGTAAAAAATTACCATTCCATTGAATCTGGTTAAAGTTGGCTTCCAAGAAATCATGCAAACTGCCTTTTTGAGCAAACTGCATTACAAAAATAAAATCTCTGGATGTTGGATCACTCGAAATACCATAAAAATCAATAATATAACGCGACCTTGCAATCGAAAGGTGTATTGCAGCCTAATTTGCAGCAGTATTAATAAAGTGCTTTGATAAAATATAAAAAAATTAATTAAGGAATTGTTATGTTACCTCATTTCTTACACGAACAAAATAATTGTTTACTCTCCTTAATCTTTTCAAAGCAACATGAGTAGGTCCCCGTCTGATCCACTTTTTAGATTTATCACATCTTACTCGTGGACCATCTTTCCAAATTGCCGAAATTACAGTAGAATATCCGCCACTCCCAAAAACTCTCAAGTTTTGAAATTGTTCATAAGGTATCTGTTCTATATACATGTATGTGTGATCGTCAAAACTTTCAGCCAGAATTTGTGCAGCAGTTCTGAGATTTGTACACCTGGAAACATTTTCAATAAGGGATCTTGATTCACATGCATTACACCAATATAAACTACTCCATAATTTATTACATTCTGGACAATATTCAGTTGCTTTAGATATTCTGAATCTTCGCCAATACTTTTTAATAGTTTTATACAGGAAAAATAGAGATGCACTGTATATTAACAACACAAAAACAATCGGCGACAGAATTATTGAGAAAATTATTTGTCTGTTTAACATGTTATATAGCATTGTTATTTCTAAGATGAAACATTGTATGAATTTATAATGATCCAGAACTATTTATTTCAAATGCAAAGTCACACACATATCAAACATATTTCTGTTAACCCTCTCGCGTTCTCTGCATTTAATTGAAGTGTGCAACCATCTGATTAGTACGTAATACGTACATGTACGTACGAAGTCGGAAAAAAAACTTGAAAAGGCAAAATTCTAGTGACACTCAGAACATAAAACTACGTAATTTCACTCACTAATTCCCAAAAACAAAGTATGGAGTCATGTGGCGCTATTTGTTGTTCGGCTTTGGCTACCCCATAAGGTTTTTAAATTGAACGTGAGCACTACATATGTGCCAGTGTTGGTAAAATAGTAAATGACTAAACTTTTTTGGCTTATAAAATAATTTATATATTTCTTAATTTATTAATGCATGTATTTTGCTTCATTAAAGAAATAAAATTCTTCATGACCATTTTTGTCTGTTTGCCAACACTGATTATTATGCGCAGCGCACGTACGTACGTACGTAGTTATGTAGCGTAACGATAATACATATATTTCTTACCGTTATTACATGTAATATCTCAAACATTCAGTTTCAATTTTCCTCTACAAGTAGCTGAATATAATTCTTCAACATCTGATGCCACCTTTTGAGAATTAATGCATATTAGAATTTGTGTTAATTGTGTGGCTCCGATTCATAATTTCTTCGTTTATTTCTTTACGACCTTAGGTAAATTTATGGATGTTTGCGTCAATTTAGCTCGTATTTGCTTTCTTCGTTCTCTAATTTACGAGCCATCGGTGAAAAACATCCAGAATTTTAAAATTTTTCCTCATAAACACCACGACTAACAACATTCTTTTGTAATTCTGTAACATTAGCTACCAAAAATTGATGTGAACGTCACATGACCCGTTTCTAAGTTATTGGCCTCAGTGATAAAGGTGTCCCATTTGATAGCTTTTTATTCTTCGTTTTCTTTTGTATCAAAATTATTTTCGATCACGGATAATATCAAGCTTACATCTTTATATCCTGCAAATAGTGTGATAAACATTATATGGCAAGCTATACCTTTACTGTGGATCTTGACATAGAGCTAGAGACACGATTTATCAAGATACAAAATATGCCGTAAAGCGCTCTGTATATTATCCCCCTCTTGTAAAAAATTTGAACCACAAGCTAGTCCAATCTTTTTTTTTAGTAAATCCAATTATTTTTTTCGCAAATAATTAAATTTAGATTTCACTATACGATTTTTTAAAAAATTTAGTTACTGGTTTAATAGCCTTGAGGTTAATTGGGACTTAAATTTTTACTATACAGCGCGCTTAACGGTACTTCTCTAAATTAGTGAATAAATAAATTTTTTAAAAGCTACATACCGTGCAGTAGCGCTCAAAAAATTCTAATGCCTCCAACATCAATCTAATGTCTGTCCCTAATTTTTATACTTTGTCACTAAGTGATCTACATGATTATTTTAATTAGCGTTAGTGAAAATTTGACATAAAAAATCCACAGAAACTGCAAGGAATGGTACGGGAAACGTATATACATAATATGGTCTTAACACGAAAGTGACACGAATTCGACAGTCCATACTTATGTGTGTGGTTCTGTGCTAAAACCCCCCCCGTCCCAAAAACGTGTTTATGCGTTCCCCCTGCTTGTACGTGCCTTTCTTGAATTTCTGTGGATCCTTCGTGTTTGCTTATATGAGCTCCCGAATGTCAACGTCACACATATGTCAAATTAACATTCAGAAGTTTGTATTCAATAGCCAACACTCAATTTAACTGAAAATTGGTATGTAGTTTTCACAGAGAACATTTCTTGTTAATAAAATTTTCAGGAATCGTCTTGAAAAAAAATTTTGAGTCAAAATTGCACCAATTAAAAAAAAACTTACAGCTTAACTGTAGTATTTTTATACTGTATATATACTTTCTCAAAAATTGTCTGGGTTATTAGTCTTAAAATGAGTATAGAAACTAGAGGCATTAGACTGTCAATGTAATTTTGTCACAAGTACAAAATCGTAACGGTAATTACAATAATAATTATCTATGCTAGCATAATTCTTGCAAATTCGCAACAATCAAAATAAAAATGTAACAGTATATCTTAAAATTTCGCTATAAATAACTTTAGTGCTACTAAATTTTTCTGGCTAAAGCTTGTTTTCAATGTACAATTGTGAGCTTGAAAAAGCAAATAGACAAAATCGTAACGGTAATTACAAATCATATCTGATTTAGAATTGGCTTTGCAAATCCGTGTAAAATTTCGCTATAAATAACTTTAGTGCGACGACTATATTTTCCATTCAATGTGGCTAAATACATGTACATGTAATACATAACGATAAGCTTTCAATGATACAGTTGTGGGCTTACAAAACAAATAAATAACCGCTCGCTCTTTTTTGCTGACCATAAAAATTGATTTTAGTTAATAAAACTAAGTTTTTTATTAGAATTTGCTAGTACCAGCCATTCTTAATTAAATTATTGAGTTAGAAACACAATGAATACCGAATTGCCTCAAGGGTGGAAACAAATGGTGAGTTGACTATGGAATAACAAACAACACTAATAAAAATAGATATCGATATGATTATGATTAAATTTTCTTTAATTTTTCTTTAATAAGCATGATCCACGTAAAAATCCTGAATTGGCTATTCCTCAACAACAGCCAGTATACCCAGCTGCAAAACCATATTCCGAACCAATAGGAACATTACAAGTAAATGCGCTATCGCCATCTCATCAATATCCTGCTCAGCCACAAATTCATCAAGGAAGTAACACTTCGAGTCCATCTTCAGGGCCCGGAAATGCAGAAACAGGGGATCGAGGATTAAACTCAGGGGAACGAGGTTTAATTTCATCGAAAAAACTAATAAAAATCGGAACTAAAATATTCAAGTCAATGGGCAAACCGAATAAACCTCAACAACAACAACACTCTCAGCAGGTATATCCGCCGTCAAATTACTATCAACCCAATAATTATTATTATCAAAGTGATTATTCTGATGGCAGTCAATACTATGATAGTAATTTAATGGATAATACAGATAGCATGTATCCGATGGACAATAACAATAACAATAATTACTATATAGATAATTTTCAAACAGAAAATAGTTATGCGTCTACACCATATTATAATGAGAGTAATAGTTATTATTATGAATATTAAATTGTCCAAGATAAACAAATTCGATATACGTAATGATTAATACATGTATTAGTTTTATATGATATCCATATCAACTACGTGCATGTATTCAGCCCAGAATCATTAAAGATACAATTTAATAAATAAATATTTCATATAATACTTTCTTATCATATTAAAACTCTTTAATAATTAAAACAAAAAATTGGTATTGATAATTAAACATTTGTTCCTTGTTTACAATCATTTTTGTTCATAACTAATCTTTCTGAATTAAAGCTTGATTATTATTCTTTTTATTCTTTTTGAATTTTATTTATGGACTATTTTACAAAAACACCAATATAAAATTATTGAAGTTGTTTTGAATTTGTGCTAAAATATGACTGAACAGTCAAAGCTTATCAAAAGTGCAGTATATTTGTTAATTACTCATGAAATACTTTATAATAATATAAAACTTCTTAGTTTATTATATCACTAATATTTTTATTAATCTTTAATATTATATTTTCAATTTATTATCTTTTTATTTATTATTTATTAGTTTATATTATAAGATAGGGGAGGGTATTATGACGCAAAAGGATAATGTGACGCACCAAATAATTTAAAGATAATGCTTAATAAAACAATCAGAATTGAATAATTTTTGTACCATTCGATTTGTCTCACCAAGACGAATCATATGGTACATACAGTGGCTCACACATGTAACCGAACACGAAAATTAACTTTCTAGCATTTTTATTTCCATGACTATTAGTTTGGA